AAATTCCAAAAGTACTTTATGACTTTATCTAAAATTATAAGATTACTACAATGATTTAGTAAAAAACCAACATCATTTATATTTTCTATAATATGATATTTTTATTTATTTAGTTTTAAAGATTATTTATGATTATATTTTTTATATATTATATATTTGGGCCATACAAAATTTTTTTAAGATTTTATTTATTTATTTAAAAATATGTATTCATTTTAGAATAAATATTAAAATTATTAGAAGAGTAAATTTATCACAAAATATTCAATGAACTTTTGAAATATAATTTTACCAAACAACACTGACATCAATAGACATTTAAAATACAGTTTTCATCTATTGTTTACCAAAGACTCAAAGCATTCTAGAACCACATATTCACTCAAACCCCTTTCTTCAACTGCATATTAAAAATACGAATGTGTTTCTAAACACAACCTAAGTCCTTGTCAGACCCAATGCTCTAGTGACTGAAGTGCACAATAACAGCAACAACCTATCCAAGTCTTATTGTTACTATACCTAGATATACTAGTAGTGCAAGATACGAGTCATGGTTGATAATCAATAATACAAGCTAGGTTATACCAACCATAACCACACATACAATAGATATCAACTGATGTCCACGATAAAAATTTTCCCCACCTTTCATTTCTTCTCTCAGTTCTGATGTTTTCCTTGCTTTCACCCAGATATATCATTACTTCCCGTCTCCACCTGTCTTTGTTCTCCTTAAGTTTGTCAGGTTTAACATTTCAAAAGAAGGCACAACTTAGTCAAATGAGTCAAACCCAAACCCAATAAGGTACTCTATCAGTCAAATCCATATTATAACTTCAAAGGTCAATTAAAATTTAGTTGCTCAACTTGAACCAGAAAGTTGAGGAAGATTTGGGCCTCTTTGCAAAGTTGACTATCAAATACACTTGGAAGATGTTCATATATTGTCTAATAGACATCACTGGGGACATGGAGGAGCAATGGCCTCAATCTATATTTCGCCTCATCTTACTTTTCTAAAGGTTTTTTTTAAGGTTAATTTAGTAAAAAGATTTGAATAATATAAAGGACTTTCTTCATCAAGATAAAGGAGCAAATGAATGTGTGACTAAAAAATCTAGGTAATTTTCAAATTAACTAGTTCTAAGTATATTGGTTGAGGACATTTACTAAAACAACCAATCATCAAAACTTTAAAATTTGCCTTAAATATTGTTTTGCTTAAACAAGTTATGTATGCTCCTCATAAGGATGGTATTTATTTTCAATATTTTCAAACTAAGGAAAATACACAAAGGATATGAAATGCTCCATACCTTACAAGCTTTTGTAAATTTGTCTTAGAAATTATAACACAAACTGGAGTTAAAATTAATAGCTAAATGATATATATATATATATATATATATATATATATATATATATATATATATATATATATATATATATATATATAATTTTTTGCCAATTCAAAGGGATAAACTGGTAGTCTATTCCTTTCTAAGGCCCTGTTAACACACCAAACTTCATGCACAACCAGAGGTCCGATACCATTTGCAACTTGCCTAAAAGTATAATAGAAAGAACAGAAAAAAAATGTGGACACAGACATTGAGAGGAGACTTTCGAACTTACGTATAATATACAATATAATATTCCAACTGCATCCTGGTTGGTTTAAACGAGGAATTCGAACTGATGGATCACCATAAGTTATCTGCCAAGATTAGCAAATTCTTATGCTGGATTCATACGTCATGCATTGGATTAAAACTGCCAGATGTACTCAAGAACCAGGATTTACCAACATATAGATCCCGCCAGGTCTGAGAAGCCTAACTTCAAGGAAATAACAAATGTCAAAGTAAATAAAACATACACACATAATATTGGATAAATATTAGACATTTTACAATGATTGAACTTGTAGAAAAAAAAAAAAAGAAACAATTGCTGGAGCCCAAACCTGTTCACTTCTTCTAGCATCCGGGAGGCACTAAGTGTAGCATCCACACCGCACTAACATCCAGATAAAATTACAGTTAACCCAAAGAATGACTGCCTTTTAATGTTTTTATAAAGCTTAACACAGAGCACTTACCATTAAAGAATCCAAAGTCCCTAAACAAAATCATTATGGAGATAAGTGACTAAAACAACAACAATTAAAAAGAAAATTTTGTATAATGTATTTAAACCTAACTAGAAATAACATAGCAATAAAAAGATAGTTTAGTACCTTTATCAATGACACAGTCAAATGATTCATCATCAAAGAAGCTCATGTCCCTTACATCCATTTGCATGTCTGTTGATCATAAGGATAAAAGACTAGATCCCTCTGCTTATCCAAAATTAGTAGCTGTGGTACATAGAATACCGAATATGAATAACTAAAAATAGGATACAGCGTAGTTGTGGAATATGTGTGTATTTCTTTCTCATCATTTCTGTCACAACTGATGAGATGTCAATGTTCATGATGTCTATGTAACCATCCTTCACCATATCCTCTGACATAACTGCAAGGTCAGATAGATAGATTGAATCAACTTGTCAGCAATAGAAATCCATGAAGAACTTAGTAAGTATCATATATAAACTAAATAGCATTTATGCTAACATGTCACATGAAATATTAGGCAACTCTTTATCGAATAGCATGAAAAAAGACAGAAGATATAAGCTATAACAAGCATGCAAACATGGTAAATAGTATTTATAATGTTTGTCTATGTGCATGCACAATGCTATATAAGTATGCTATATCTAGAAATGATGAACTTTGAATAATAATTTCACAACCACATGCAGCAGCTAAGATATTAGCTTTTTTCTTTATATGAAAAAAACAATTGAAATGATTGATAATGTACCAATTATTAACTACTTTGAATATCCTATACAATCTAGTAGTAAGCAGCTCATATATGTCACCACTATTTCCTATCTTTAACCACTGGATGAGTCTGAAACGTTCCTCTTAGCTTAAAATGAAAATCCAATCTGTACCCTAACTAAATGAGCAAAATCTAAGTCAAACATGCAAAGGCTACAAAAAGGCCTAAATTTACCTCTAGAATATGTCAATAACGTACAGGACACATTTAGATCCGATTGATCATCCGAACGATTGCAAAGCGTTCAATCAGCTAACAGAGTTTGAACTTGATGATCGAACACCCAGTACCAGCCAAAAACTACTGAAAGCTTTAAAACTGAAGATCACTATAATTATAGAAAAAAGTTCGAACCAGACCAAAAACAGGTACAATGAAGACGTATAATATGCAATTCATGATTAGGTTCAGCAATTCCAACTTAAATTCATAGCTCAACATTGACAGAACAACCCTTTTTCCCGTGATAAACAAGTCTATGAAGAAGAAAAATCAAGCATTCCTGCCCAGAACAATGAAAGCCTAACCTAAACTAACACAAAATCTAAAAAAAGGAACACGTCAAAAAAAGCCGACAAAATTATAAGTTTGAGCGAGACGTGGTTCTCGTTAATAAGTTCTCAATTTCGAGAAGTGACGACCACATGAATGAACCGGATGCCACACGGAATAACGGTAAAGGTGGGGGAGGAGGGAAGAGGAACGAACCAGCGTTGCCGCAGCCGACCATGAGGACGCCGGCAGAGACGGGGACGTACTTTCTAACAAAGGGGCGGAGGGCGGAGTAGCGCTGGTACCAGTCGAAGGAGGCGCTTCCGTCGGCGAGGTAGCGAGCGTCCCAGTAGAGGGCGTCCCCGTAGCTGTACGCGTTGCGCTGCGACGACGACATCATCATCGACTGCCGCCTCTCGGGTTCCCCTCCTCCTCTTCCTCCTCGCCCACTTCCCTACCTTTGTTGTCGTCATCGATCCTTCCTATCCATCGATCCATCGATCTCGTGCGTGCAACGCGAGGAGCCGCCGCGGCCCGTCGCCATCACGTCCCCCTTTTACTCTACCCGGCCTTCCCCTCCCCCACAAATGCCTCGAAAACGACTCCCGACGGAGAGAAAAATCGCGGTTTTTGGTTTCAGCCGAACGGGCCGACGCTTGAAGGCAGAGGGGGTTGCCATCGCTGAACCAATCAAGAGAGGGGTAGAATGCCCGAGTACTTTTGTCGCCGTGGTCTTCGTAGTTTTGCTGTATTAGGCGGCACTGTTGGTGACTGAGGCCTACCACCTCGCCTAGCCGAGTCAGCCGCTGGGAGCTTCTCGGGTGACGTCGCCTCCAAGAAAACCGCCCGCGAGAGGGCATGAAGGCGTCTGTGGTCCCCACTGGACGGTTAGGCTCGAGCGAAACGACGTCTTATGACCGCAGCATCACCACACTGGGCTGCACTGTCGGTCACCGAAACCTACCAATGGTTAGCCGAGTCAGCCGCTGGAAGTTTCGTGGGTGACGTCGCCTCCAACAAAACCACCTGGATGAGCTGGTGAGTGAGACCCATCACGGGGGACAGCCCGTCGACCCTGAGACATCACGGGGGTGGTTCGGTCCGACCGAGTAGCCCTCGCTGTCGATGCCGAAGCAGGTCGAATCAGTAAGGATGTGAACGAGACGGCAAAAGACGGTGTGTGCTTTTCCGATCCGACCACGTCTTATCCGCATCCTCGTTTCATTCCTAGTTTGAATGAAGCGGAGACGAAGACGAGGAATCTCCATCGGCGGCGAGGAACAATGGATTCTCGTTATTTCTCATAATTAATTTATTTTAAAAAATATCAAAACTAATTAATATTATTAAAATTTGTAAATAATAATAATAATGATTGAATATTCGTTCCACACAGCCGTACTAATTTAATTAAATCAAATAATTCATAATTAATTTCTAATTAACTCGATCAATATTTAATCTTAATCTTATGTTTAAACACTTTAAACTCTTAGCATGAGCAAATAACCTCTTTAAACTCTTCAAGCAAGGCCAACTCCATGATCACCAGAAACACCTCGTCCTTGCAAGGACTGAGAAGTGTCATGCAGAAACAAATCCTTGAATCGTGAAGGCCATGCTGTAGATCATTTAAAATGATATAACTCCACTTCTGACGATCCATCATGGCCTTACTCGAGCTTTGAAGTCTCTTCTGAGGAAAAGAGCATAGAGGAGTTCGTTCCATGCGTCAGGAACCCCAGGCAAGCACCAATGGCTGCAATCCTCCTTATGAAGCCTTGCATCGCTCAGAGGACCAACATGATACAGTGACTGATGCCCATCTTTTCTCTGGGCTGTCATCTCGGTCACGTTCAACACATCTATTTCTTTCAATGCAGATCGAGTTGAATTCTGCATGCGTTGTTCTGTGAATGGGTTCAGGAAATGGCTCCATGATTTTGATAAGGAATATGAGGATCTGAAATCTGGGACTGTCTCCGAATGACATTTTCCTCCGCTCTTCCCATCACCTTTACTGCGAAAAATGTAATGCATATAAAAGTTCCAGTAAGTGCGATCTTCGCATTTACCCGAAACATGCTGGAAACCGTGATGGTTTTGAGTCCTCACAAAGTAAATGCATATGTAATGCGTGGTTTAGTCTTAGACAAATGATTTGAATAGTCTATTTGTAATATCTTAATTACTGATTTGAACCAAACGAAATCGATAAATCAGTTAACTCATCAAGCTCCAATCGTGATATCTACCATCATTAACTTGAGCTTAATGATCAATAACCAAAGTATATTGATTGATTTTTTTGATATATATATATATATATATATATATATATATATATATATATTTTCGTTTTGCGAATTCTTCACTCCCCCAACAAAAATAATATGCTAAATAACAGTCTATGACACCAAGGCACTAAATTTGAAGATGTTGCAATGCGTGCAGTCATAAGATCAAACCAACCTGGAATGTGCAGGGGAATAAGTACGGAAGACGACCTGAGTCCTGCTTGTGTTGATCTCCTTGTCAATCCAATCTAAAAATGTCTTCATCGATCTCTCATAAGCGCTTTCCACGCTCATCTGCAGCTCCACCTTCCCCCCTTCCTCGAAATAGCATCCACTTCACAGCACACAGCACAATGGAGGGCATTCAAAACTACGTTATTCTCCCGTAAACAAAAGCTTATTAGACATGGCGTACGTACCTTCCGATGGTCTTCTCATGGCTCCACCAGTGGCCGGTGTTGACGACCAGCACGTCGGCATCCCTCCACCCGGCGGACTTCCGGTCCATGACGTCCAATCTGAGCACGCTCTTAACAGGCGACGGCGCGTCAGGGGGTGGCCGGCTTCGCAACACCAGGTGGGGGGCTCGGTAGTACTCCACGGTGCAGTTGTAGTCCCTGAACCGGAATATCAGGAACCCCTTGTGCTTGGTGATGGGCTTCCCGTTGACTTCGTACACGGAGTCGTCGTTCGCAGAGGCGGCTGAAGACAGCATGCAGAGGAGAGACTCCCACTGGTTTCTCCCAATGGAGTCGCCGGCAAAGACCAGCCGACGGTTCCGTAGCTTCTCCAGCATCAGCTTGGCATCGAATCTGCACGCATCAACGACAGATTGGAATTCAATGTATTAGATGGAGTTCATCGTGTCGACGGAATGGTGTTGACTCGGCAAACCGTTCGTTGGCTTCCCTTCCACCCAAACCAAATCATTCTTCACCGTAGAGAGAGACGACCTGGGGAGATTGCAACGGGCGGGCTGCCACCGCCACTGTGTGTAGAGTCGATCGGGCCTTCCGTTCTCGGCGCACCGGAATCCCTCGTCGATGAACGCACAGTTCTTGGATTCATACAGTGGGTAGCTCTCGTCCTGCACCCACTTTCCATCGAAAAGATCGCAGCCATCGGCACCTCCTCTGTCTTCCTCGCCCTTCAGCACTTCCTGTACTCCCCAACCCTGCGACCTATCGCCGCCCACCAGGGCCCCACCGGCCACCGCCTCCCAGAAGCGGAAGCAGAGGGAGCACAACAGGAACAAGGACGAGGCAGCGAAGGCGGCACAGGCCAACACCACGAGCTTCTCCACGGTCTTCATCCACTTCTTGACGGCCACGTCCACACAAATCTTGCTTGTGGTGGTTTCTGCATGCATAAGCACAAGAGTAGCGGAGAAAACAAGTCGAGGGTGGCAGGGAGCCGTCGACGAGGAGCATATAGGAAGACATATCGATGACAGGATGTGGATTTATTTATACAATAGGAGCAAAAGCAAACTTATAATATTCTTAGTTGCTTCGGGCTTCAGAACGTTCTTATCTGAACAACTTATTTCTTAATATATCTAAACAATTTATCACTATAAAGTTTGATATTAGAAGGAAAAAAAAAAAAGAACCATTTAAGGAGTGGCTCATATGATAATCGATGAAAATCAATTTATGTGCGAAAGTGACTAAAGATATAGTTTGATAAATTTGACCCTAAATATCATTTTACCAATTAGACTATTTGACATTTCCAAAATTTTGTAAAATTAACCCTCAACCTCTGACCTTCGAATTTGGTATTTCAGCTGTTAAAACACCAATCCGAGGTTTCGACTAAAGCTTTAAAGCAGGCACAAAAAAGCATTAAAAAGAAATTTTGGAAGAGAGAAAAGGCACTCACTGTGCAACCTTATTTGTACTTGATGAATGACATAAATTAATTTTTTTATAAATAATATATTTTTATTTAAATTATTAATTTTCTTATTTGTATAGTATGATTAATAAAATAATTAAAATTCATTTCTTTAATCATATGAATAAGTTAAGAATTTTATCAATTAATTAATTTATTTATTAATTTAGTTCTTAATGAATGATGTGATTTTTATTAAATAAATAGTTTGTATTCCATTTTTATGTGTGAATCATGAGAAATATATATATATTATATTTCTATCCTTGTACATGAAAATAAAATAAAATTTAAATTATTACTTATTTATTCAGATTTTTATGGTGCATAATAATGTTTTAATTTTTAAAATTTTATGATTAATATATAATGATAATTGATTTGTGATGTTAAAATGATTATTTGATTTATAATGATCTCTTAAGCTTAATCGAATTTCAAGATTCATTTAATTATAATAATTTTTATTTTTGGATTAACTTAATAGTTCTACTTTATTTAATTAGATATATTTATGTTTTATGAATTTTTATGATTTAATTAGTTTCAAATTAAAGTCATGAATTTAAATTATTTAATTTATAGGTTTAAGTTATTCTTTAATAATTTAATATATTAAAATATAATTTAATAAGATGAGTCTAATTATGGTCTGATTTGAGCCAGGTTGATCTACTAAATCGGGTCGACCCAGCCCTTGTGGCCAAATACGACCCATCCTATGTGGCCAAACAAAACCTAGCTTATGTGGCCATATATATCCCAGCCCATATTGTTAAGTGCGACCCAACTCATATCATCAAGTCTGGTTCAACTCATATGGCCAAGTACAACCAAATCTATGTGGTCAGATATGACCCCAACTCATATGTCTAGGCACAATCCAACCTGCGAGCTAGGTGTGACTCAGTTTAGATGTAAAGCTTAGCCCAATTTGTGAGGGAGGCTCATCCTAGCGAAGTTAGGCCCATCCAGCTATGTGATTAGTGTTAGACATATCATCACTCCTCTATCCAGCTTGGGACAAGCACATACGACATACATGACTCATCTAATACTCATGTGAGTCAGTTCAGTTTAAACTAGCATTATACGATATAGTTTAATTTGTTTTCCCTTTATTAGTTTGAGTTCATTAATTAATTTAATCAAATAAGTTTGAATGATTTAACCTAGTTTAGGGTAATTGCAAACCAACTTAACTACTTTAAGACCTAATCAAAATCAATAAAATCTATGTGATTCGTGATCGATTTTATAAGGATTTGATGAGGATTCCGTTAGATCCTAATCAAATATTATTTGGGATAAACACGTGCAGCACACATGACTCGTCTAAGATGATAGTAGGTCAATTCAATTGGGCTAGCACTATATGATATAATCTAATTTTCTTTCACTTTATTTATTTAAGCTCATTAATTCAAGTTGGTTTAGGATGATTTTAGATTAACTTGACTAGTTTAAACCCACTTGACATAATCAAAATCAATCAAATCTAAATTAGACTAATCTAAGGTGATTCCAAACCGATTCTATAAGGATTTAGGATTGGTTCTATTAGGTCCTAGTCGAATTGAATTTGGTTCAAGTTAATTGGACTATTTCAATTAGGGTTCTAATTGATTAAATACTATTGAGAGATTAATGTCTCATGTCTTAATGATTTGATAAACTTAAAAGTTTTATTTGAATATTTCATTTTTAAAATGATTATTGGTTTTTTATTTTTTTAAAATTTATCATATAGTATATGTAATTATGCTAGTGGTCCACATTATAAGTGTAACTTATGAAAGGAGTTATGATTCATCACCCTGCAAAATCACCGAGGGACATAGTCGAGCAGATTATACATCAAACATGGCACCTCATAATACTTTATCATACTATTTTTTGAATGTATGCGTGAATGAATGGATGAATATAAACGAATGATAATAGTTGTTTATGTATCCATGCCCTCATGCCAAGGGCATGTAGGGTGATTTCGAGGATTAGTGGGCCATCAAATGTGATGATTAGACAATTCCTCCACTTGTTGTTGAGAGGAACGTATCTCCACTTGAGCGGATGAGGGATACCACTCCATCTGTTGTTGGGAAGAATCCATCCTGTGAAGTATGACATCCATTGTTGAATGAGTGCACCATTAGATGTAATATATGTGTTTGTTATGTAAGATCTTATTTATTACATAAAAATTATCATTATTTTTTATACATAAGTTTTATAATAAATTAATATATTATCATTTCATATTAAATTATTAATATTTATATTTTTTTAGAAATATTAAATATTATTTTTTATGCTGATATATATTTATATTATATTTATTTTTAAAATAATCTATTACTTTATAATAGATACGAGGTGTAGGATGAAAAAGATTTTTCGTCACTTATGATATGATTTTTTTTTAGTTAATAAAATATTTAATATTATAAATATAAAGATTTAAATTCATAAATATTTTTTTATATAAATTATCAATAATAAAATAATATTTTTTTAAAAAAAAATAAATCTGGGATGTAAAAGATAACATCCAAAAGAACACACACAAGAAAGCAGCCTAAATACCTCCTCCTCGGCGGGCTCCTTGATCGATGAGTACGTGGAGATTCTCCACTGTGAGAAGAAATGCAATTGTCATATGGACTTCCAATACTCGAGTCTGATCATCCAGAAACAGAAATTACAATAACATATTTTGGCAGATCAACAAGAACCAGAGTGCATAAAAATTTGGAAGTATAAATCTTCACTTAAAAGATGGTTAGATAATTATGCAACTTAAAGATTTAAATTAGTGTCACACGATGTTTCCTAGCAAATGTTATTTAAGGAAGGATCTGGGTTGTGGGGTGGATATTAAGGGAACGGAAGATGATGTTATGTTGAAGGGAGAAGTCAACTTTGAAGAAAAGAAATCACGCGATTGAAAATGCAGACGAACAGAATAATAATCAGCTTTCAGCTTCTAATATGAAGTTTTGGAAGATGCTACTGATAATTTGCTTAAATATGATACTGATATTATAAGTAGATATAATATTATTACCTTCTCTACTAAATGCCCGATCAACAAAAATTGCTTGCGTACGAAGCTCGGATCCATCGAGTGTTGTAATTGTAGCTTGTGCTTCGTTGAAGCTCTCATTGAATTCAATAAAGGCATAACCCGAAAGAAGTAAGCAAATTACACACTGAACGTACAAAGACTTTAATTTAAAATAAGCTACACAAATAGTGAAAAGTAGTAGTGGAAAGTAATGCAAGCATTTTAAATGATTAATTGATTTTTTTTATAAAGATCTCATTGAATTCAATAAAAACCCTTTCTATTCACTCATTCTCCCTCCTTTGACGCTCTCTCTAACTCATCTACTCCTTGTTTCGAACGTACAATTCAAACTCCACAAAACTCTTAATCTTAAATATAAATTATTTAACTCATAATCTAATTATTCAAATTATTTTTTATAAATAATTCAATATCACTGAAAGGATGATCCGAAACCTATCATTAGCTACTTCTCAAAGCTCGAAAAAAATATGCATCATTATTCTTTCTTAATTTAGATTATTTTTTACTAAAATTATACTAAATTTGTATTTGTTTTTAACTTAAAAATCCTAATCATTTTATTTTTAAAATTTTTTGAAGTTATTTTATATTTTTTTTTGTGTTATCAATATGTACAATCATACCAACACATGATACATTATGAACAATACGTACCATGTCATTAGCTGACCGATACACTAGACACACTAGTAAGACGAATCTTATAGCCAAGTATTGTTAATCAGTGTCAACTTCTGTTTGGAGCATCAAGACATCTATTATTAGACTTCAACGAATCAACCAATTCACAATCCTTACCCTCAAGAATCACGAGGATATATATATATATATAGCTTGTTCGTGCTTCATAGCCAGAGAGTACCCCCATTGTGTCCGTTGTTGCACACTATAGCTCCATATGCCACTGTCAAAATTTGATTTAACTATCCGTCAGATCAAACGATTAAAAAGTTGAATACTGGTACATCCAATATTTCTCTATATTAACAGTTATGTCTACAGAAGTATTATAGTCCCAAAACTATCCAAAAAAATAAAGTTAGTGGTTAAGAACTTTTGTTTTTATCTCCGGCAATTTTAAAGAAAAAAAGATCAAAAGAGACTACATAGTAATATTTACAAGGATTAAAGATGGTTACACAATGACTGTTTTCACAAAGTTAATGAGAACTGTTATATTACCTTGACAAATTCAGTGCCACGATCAAGATTTAGATGCAATTTTTTGACCTGACCAAATTGATGAAAGGCGTTGTGCAGATCATCCTCCTGTGCCTCTTCATGGACCCTGGTGACCAGTATAATCCACCCCTCAATAGCTGTCACAACAAAAAGAAAAAGTGTTTGTAATACTTACTTTCCAATAATAGCTTCATCCTATGAAAAATCACATATGGGATAGTGATCGGCGATAATATTAAGATATGCTAACATCAAAATGTCATGCATTATCAGAAAAACAAATACAACCTGTTTGACAATTGTGTAAGTTATTATATATTCTTCATGAAACCAAAATTAACAAACACAAGCAGCATCAAGAAATAATCTTCTAGCACAAGCTGCAGAGGAGACGGGCATTGCCCAAAACAATTCCAGTACAAAATATGTAAATATATATAACCTGATATACAAGCATGAGATGATGAAAACAATATTTGGGATTCTTCCAGAAGCATAAAATCTCATGTCCAATTTTTTATTACAATCGCCAACAGTTGCAAGAAGAACATACAAACTGTTTTTCTTGGTATGAGTTAGTTATATGATATGTTGCTCATTGCTGTTAAATCTCAGTGTTGCCGGCTTGTAACATGCAGATGGTAGTTTTTCTTTCTGTTCATGAGATCAAAGAATAACAGCACATGTATGCTGAGCATTAAACTCTACATATATTTTACATTGGTTATAAATATCCAATCAAACTAAACATTTTCATGATAGGGAAAAGGTGAATACTTCATTTAGTGTAAATTTGAAAATTTCTTCCAAACTTACAACACTAAACCTCTGTATTCAGCTTAATCATACATCCAGAAGCCCTCAAAGTATCTTCGACACTGCCGTAAACAGACTCTTTTTTCCTTGATGGAAAAGAGAATTTTATAGCCTCTCCAACCAATGGAGGAATCCCACATGGCACTAATGTGACAGCCAAGACGAGTGTTATTGCATGCACGCAAGGTGTGATATAAGTGGGCGAATGGTCCACTCATGCATGTATGATGTCTGAATTGTCAATGTGCATACATCGTGCACTACAATAGAATGGGTAAGATGACACTCTATGTTTCCCACTAAAAACACTTGGAATCCTCACAAAACACAAATTTTACTTCAAACAAATAAACAAATGAATAACTGATAAAATAAATGATAAGATAAAAACTGCTCACGCAACAAATTGTTTTTTCAAAGAATTATCCTTGTTTAGTGAAGCATCCAATTGAAGAAAACAGAATGATTCAGGTTTTGAATTATGTTCCCTTCACCTAGACCTCAACTAGCCCTCATATAATATGGAACCAAGGGTCATCGCACCTTGGTGCATGCAACAACACTTGGCGCTACTATCTTGTACCTTCAAGTTTCACATGACACTCTTCCATTAAATGGAATAGGTTATAAAAGTCTATTCCCCATCCAGCAAACGTAGAAGAAAATCTAAGACAAATAAGAAGCAAATAAAGAAGGGAAAGGAGAGAATTTTGACTTCCAATCATTTTCTATATTAGGTTCTATCGATTTTTCAACTCTTTCACTTATTATGTTGTCAGTACTGAAATGTCTTCCGATTTTTCACGATCATGCTCGTAAAATAATCCATCAGTGATTTCTCATCAGACATGCACAAGAAGACAAGGAATCGCATCAACCCCATTATTGTGTTTGACAAAAAATCACCCAATATATAACTAGGTCAATTCTTCTATGAGGTTGATTCTTCAACGAGCACAACCGAGAAGAATCAAAAGCGGATCGAACACCAAGAGCATAATCAATGAAAGAATTAAAAAATTAAAAAATCAAATACTAGAAAAAGATTAACTTAGTTAAAATTATCTCCTTTTTCTTTCTTTGTTTCTCTATGATATTCCTAAATTTTCTTTTACCCTTTTGCTGGATGAGGAAGAGACACCGGAGAAGAGTCATCTGGCACTTGTAAGACACTTGCATGCCAACAACAACGAGCATTGTTGATTGCATGTAAGATGCAACTGCTCCTAGTTTCATACTGTGTTTTAGTTAAAGTCTTGGTCAAAGGAACGTAATTCACTCTATTTCATTTATGATAGTTATTTAGATATTCATTGACTATACAGAAGAATGAGAAGGTAAAAGTCTCTTCATAGATATTTAGATATTCATGGATGGACGAAGGCATAAAAGTCTCTTCCACATCAAGCAAGAAGGTAAAAGAAATTTAAGGAAAAATTAAAGAAAAAGGGAAAAAAGAGAGAGAAAATTTGAACTTTTTATCTTCTTTGAGTTTTCAATTCTTCTACTTTTCACACATCTGATTCTTTAAGGTCATGCTAGTAAAAAAATCCATATGGTTGTAACTTGAGTGGTTTCTTATTAGAGGCTCATACGAAACTGAAAAATATGCTTATGACAATGCTAGTGTGCCTTCGGATTTTTTTTTTCTAAACCTCATATTTTAATTTAAAATAATTTGAACCTATTTATGATTTCATTGAAGGATAATTTTTATATTATTGCACCAACAAGGATGTCTTAATTTATTCTATTTTATAATTTTTAATTACACATAGAGATCATAATCTATGATAAACTAGGAAAATTTTGAATATAATAGTTTGTTAAGAAATAATTAAAAAACATGAAAGAAACATGAATGTCTAGGCATTCATGAAGGAGTTGTTGGTTTATTCCTTGGTATCAAAATGGTCAGATGGAACAGACTGAAACCTATAGACTTAAAACATGTGGAGCTTCATTTTATTGATTTGACCATGTTGAGGGCTTGATTTGTATATATTGCTTCAGCTCATAGAGTGAATAAGTTCAAATTTCAATGTTAAAATGATTCTTAACAATGTCGCACATCCGAGTACATCGGACACTGTGGTAGCTTGGGCAGGAAGGAAATGCATGTTTCGCCCTAAAAACTCTTTAAAAATCCCACCTATAATTGTCATCATATATACACACAAAGTTGAAGTGTATGCCACCTACTACTGTGTAGATTACAAGCATAGCATTCGACCGGGCATTTAACTACCAAACATGATAACTTCATTAACTCCATGTTGTTCCTTTTTTTGTGACATAGTTCTAATGACTACCAGTAGAATGGCAAACACTAAATCCTCAACGAAGTATGAGTACCAAATCTCCTACTTCCATGAACTAAGTAAGTGTATGAAGATGATAAGCAAAATTCCAATAACTAAATAAAACGAAATCAAAATCGTCTACTCTAAACACAATGCATTGACATAAACTCAGATGAATAAACCCTAAAATGATCGAACTAACAAAACCTCCAATGCAACAGAAGCATAAAGATAAATAATAAAGAGAAACCACATATCCAAAAATCCTAGATATTAAATAATAAAAGGGTTTTCTTCAAGCATGCACCGTTGAGGATCGGGACCGCCATCGGCCTCGAGGGAATCGAAATCCCTAGCTCCGACTCGCGGAAGCCTCTGCCTTTGGTCTTCCTCGGGCCCAAGGCGTTTCCGGCGATCGTGGATCGGAGCTTGGGTGCAGGCGAGGGGTCGGCCTCGGCAGCGCCGGCCTCCTTGTCCATGAGATCATCTTCATCGGGCTCGAAGTCTACCACCTCTTCGTCCCCTACCGCACCAACTATTGTCCTCTCTCTCTCTCTTTCTCTCTCTCGGATTTGAGTGACAGAATAAGCTACCACCCTCCTTTCGAGGCCGGAGAGTCGGAATGCGGCAGTATAAAACCTCCCAAAACAGTTTACTACCTCTATAGTGATTGGAGACGAGTCTCGGAAGGCAGTCGAACATTTTTGTGGGCGGTTTTGCTCCTGTGGGCAGTTTTGCTCCCATGGGCTCCACGTCTGTTTACCTCTATGGTGACGTACATTAGAAAGCGAATTCGCGAGAAATTTTGTTTTTTGCTTTTGTTTTCGGAAGATGTAGCAATCATATGAAATTAACTTTAACACCGTTGTCCGTTGATGTGGCAGCCATGTGGCACTGACATTTCCACCACACTATCTCTAAAAGACTTAAACATAATGGTGGCTAATGCATCCAAATTTGATTCCTAATAGTTCAATTTCCATCTGATAGCTGATAAAATATTATGATAATAAATGACTAAGTTGTTAATGTTCCATGAAAATTTTGTCTCCTGTGGCCAAACTTTTACAATTTTTTTTATACCAAATTTACTAACTTAAGAATGTGTATATCCATAATTTTTACAAGATAGGAGTATATTCTTAAAAAAAAATTACTAATACAATTTAATAAACCAATAACATTATATTTCTAAAACATAATCAGGATGAAATAGTGTGCGCACATGCAATGAGAAATTAACACGTATGCCTTGTTATTTACCAATGTAATCAAGTAAATAATTTCTAGTAAAGAATTTATCTATTTATGTTAATAAAAATTTCTCGGTATCAAGAACAAATGAGATTTATCTTTAGTATTACTAGAAAATATTCTGGCAACCATTATAATCCATCAATTGTCACCATCGAGAAGTTGACGTGAAAGACACAATGCCCAAGTCCTCTCCTCCACGATCGATGGTGGAGTAACAACCTGTCGACCATCGTAGATTGTAACTCAAAGGAAACAATATAGATTGATTGTTGAGGGTAGTAGTTCCCGGACGATCAAGCCGACTTGTGCCTCCCGTAGTTTGTCACCTGTGAGAAATTGTTCGACTCAACCCTGTATTGTTGGAGGTCGTATAAACCAACCCCTCGTGTAAATGGGTTACAAAAGGTTGTAGGAATATGCTGCTCATTGGATGTGATCAATTCCTTGATTTTTCAAGTATAAAAATCGATCCCCAATGCCTAAACAAGGACCAAAGTTAGACCCAAAAGCCCATACTATTTTTATTTCATAAAACTAACTTGATTGTAAAAAAAGTTGAGCCAGAAAATCTTTCCTAATTTTGACCTTTGTTGTAAGACCCTCGAGGAGACGGAGCTTACCCAACCTAGCCTCGGAACGATCTCGGAGGCTCAAAGATCACTTCGGAACGACTCCTACTAACTCATACTCGACACTAACCACCATAAAGACCTATCAAGACAATCTTATACCTTCGAGATAAGACTAAATCGTATCGATTCCCGATGTAAAAATGATAACAAGAATCAAAGATGATTTTAAAATGCTTATCGGTAAATGGTACCACTACCTGCTTGTAGGCTTACATCAAGAAAATTATAATGTCACCTTTTCCAAACGACTAATCTCTCTTGAATGTGAATGAAATGACTTTTCCATCCGAAAACTTCCAACAATCTTGCAAAGTTTTGCTCGTGCGAGTTGATCAAAGTATTAAGGTAAAAAAAAAAATTTCAAATCGATAAATATTTTAATTAAACAAGGTAAAGTCAAATACGACATAAAATATACGGAGTTATTAAATCACTATTAAGATGGGCCCGATGAAAAGTCCAGCCCGTTATAGCCTATTGGTCTCTGAAGTTTATCATCGCAACACGTAAAGTTTCTAATGTACGTCACCAAACACGTGAGAACATAAACGAGGACGCATCCCATGCTCGTTTCCCTTGCGAGATATTCTTCTACAACGTTCTTTTCCCACCAGTAACGTTTACCCGATAACGCGACCGCCCGTTTACTGAAAACAACGAGGGGGGGTTGATGAGACAGTGACTCATTATGGGCCCCACCCAATAATCCATTCACAGGGAAGGTGGGAAAGAGGGTTGCGTCGGGACGGGTACAAAAAGTATCGCCCTTCGTTCTATCCCGACGGCTATTAATTGCCCCCCAACCTCCTCTTCCTCTCTCTCGACCGACTTCTCCCCTCTCGACCTCGATAGACGCTCCCTTTCCCTTTCCTTTTCCTTAGCCGTCGTCGATTCGAACCCTAATTTCGTGAGATCGCAATCCCCCGATCTCCCACAGCAAAACCCTAGGTCCGTTGGGCTTCAATTGATTCTGCCTTCCTCGGCAATTTCTCTTTCGCCGGAACCCTAGATCGATTGGGGCCGCCGATCCAGTCGTTCTGAGCCCTTCAAGATGGGTAGCGGCAGGGTATACAGAGGAGGCACCTCCTCCCGGACGTCCTCCTCGTCTTCTTCCCACCCCTCGGCGCCTAATCAGCCGCCGACGGAGACGGCGTCGACGTCCATCACCGACACGGTGAACGGCTCCCACCACTTTAGGATCTCCGGTTTTTCGCTGCTCAAGGGGATGGGCATCGGCAAGTACACGGCGTCGGACACGTTCACGGTGGGGGGCTACGACTGGGCCATCTACTTCTACCCTGACGGGAAGAGCTTGGAGGACGGCGCGGCGTACGTGTCACTGTTCATCGCCCTCGCGAGCGAGGGGACCGACGTGAGGGCGCTTTTCGAGCTCACGCTGCTGGATCAGAGCGGGAAGGAGCAACACAAGGTTCATAGCCACTTTGGGAGAACGCTGGAGGGCGGTCCTTATACTCTCAAGTACCGCGGCAGCATGTGGTGAGTTGGGCTGGCGTGTCGTGTGAATTATGCTTTCGATCGTTTCTTTCTTGTTGGATAACTTATTTATGATTCTTGGGATGGTTTTAGTTTGATGTATTTTTTCTTTGCTTTGGGATCTTGTAGATCGTTCTTAAATATGCAGAACACATCTTAATAAAATTGACATAATTAGTTTCTAGGGATAAGTTTTTTTTTTCTTCTTTTAACTAGGCTATCGATGAGTCGTTAGTGATTACCTTGGTTGTGAATTATAGTTTCATTTATTTAGTTGGTATCCGAAGAAGATGGCTGTCTGAGGGTGGATGTTATCAAAATGTTAATTACTGAATGAGGTAGCAACATAAAAGAAAGGATGCGTTGATTCTTGAACTGATTAGTGCATGGTGAATTTGATCGATTTTATTTGTTCACTTGTTTTCTTATTTGGACTGTGTGCTTGGAAATTCTTGCAGTTCATGGTTCTGTTTGAGGCATCTCAGTACTTGCGCACTTCATTCTTTTAAGCTCAAGCTATGACCAAATAATTGTTAAGTGAAAATTTTGTCTTGATGGTCATGGATGTTGAATTTTTTCACTGTAAAAGATGATCATGAGTTTAAAAAAGTAATCCTTTACTTTTTGAAATTCTGACAATGTGAAATATTTATATTCACATGACTTACAGGTGAAAGTCTGTTCTGATATAGGAAAAAGTGTGGTTTACCTGATTAACCTAAGAGGTGTTTGCAAGTTGGAAGGTTCTAGTAATCTGTTCATAGACTATATTTTTTTCTGTTCGCTTTGACAATATGCCCTTGTTTACAGGTGAAAGTTGGAAGGTTCTAGTAATGTTTATATTAGTTTCTGTTCACATTGACAATATGCCCTTGTTTGAATTTCTCTTCACTTCGCCAGAAGTCCTTGATATGTTTAAACTCCCACTATACTAGCGTTTTATTCTTATCAGTGTTAATGCATTATTTGAAGAAAATTGATATGAATAATGTGCTCTGTTATATGATTCAACATCTGGCTTTTTAGTAACAATTTCACAGTATCAGTTTATCAGTAGAATTTAGTTAATGATCATGGTCTTTGTTGTTAGGACTGATGCCTCCTAAGAGGTGCCCCTTTCATTTGAGCTGAAGTAGGGGCCTCCAAAGAATAAACCAAGGAAAAAAACTATCACTGGTAAATTGCAGGAGATTAATGTAAAATTAAAAAAATTTCAGTCTTGACCTTCTTTTAGGGTTCTTAGGCTTTCTTTACTTATACATTGTCCCATACCCAAACCCTACTTTGATTCAGATAATTATTAGGAGTATTTTGTTGCAAATATCTTATCTCTCTGCCCCCCTCACCCCCTTCTTCTTCTTCTCTCTCTCTCTCTCTCTCTCTCTCTCTCTCTCTCTCTCTTTTATTTACTCACATTACTATTCTGAATACCCATCCTCTGGGTTTTCTTAAGCAAAAACAAAAAAGAAGGCTTAGGCCCTTGTCTGGCTCTATTGGGAGAAGTATTCATGGCTCCATCAGATTAGGCTTTAGGTAGATATGTTGTAGGTCATCATGGAACATGGTTTCCAAGGTCATATGACATGCAAGTTGTGGCTGGGTGCTGAACATGGGAACCGGTGCAACACAATGCATTGCTGATGTAATGCTGGTGAGGTGCGGAGAGCGAGGATTGGTGTTTGTTATAGACAATCAAGAAATTTGGTAGGAAGGATTCAAATACAGTTTTAAGTTTTTGACCCTTTTGCCAGTCTTACCAAGCTTGCTAGCTGGATGTTTTTCATTGTTTTTATAATATGATATAATTCAGTCAGTTTTAAGGGTTTTATGGTTCTAGTTGAACTACTTAACATTAGCATATTTTGGTGATCCATTTAAAATAGTAAGAGTATGCTATTTGATAGCTCGTGTTGCTTTGTGTGGAAAATGTGTGGTAAAATCTGGTGGTCTCACTAATTGTCTGATCTACTTATCCTTTACTCAACAATTTTATTGGATAAGATGTTCTTGTCCTTTATCAGTTTCTGCGTGGAAAATGTCCATGGTTATAAATTAGGGAGCATTGATTTCACAATGACCTAATTATGTTCTTGAATAAGATTTTTCTTAATCATCCTCAGATGTCCTTGTACTTAAATTGTAGAGAACGGTAATGCTCATAAACTGAGTTACTTAATATTAGTATTATTGTCATCATAATGACTTAATTATCTGCTTGATTAAGATTTTCTACCTCTTAACTCAAATGTTAAAGATGGTAATGCTAAAAAATAAGTTACATTAGCGTGAAGTTGGTTAGGTTAGAAATTTTTCCTGAAGTCTGTATTAAAGAACTATTCCATCTGAATAATTTTTGATAGACATCTGAAAGCTCCATATTAACAATTTGAAGCTTCTTTTAGGTATTAATGTCTGGCTGGCTAAAGATATAACTAAGTCAAGCATGATCAGTGTTCGTTTTGTCAATTTTCTCCTTTTTATCATTTCAGATAATCAATGATACATTTTTTTCATCTTTTTCAAGAGAGAGCTTTTAATAAGGTAACATGCCATTCTTTTAAGGGCATAATTACATTTCTTTTACATGTTCTGCAATTTAGCACTATGTGAATTTTATACAGGAATGCAATAATTTATACTATGAATGCCCATTTACAATAATATTGCATTTGTTGTGAATGATGCAGGGGTTATAAGCGTTTTTTCAGAAGAAGTGCTTTAGAGTCATCAGCATATCTTAAAGATGATTGTCTCTTAGTTAATTGTAGTGTTGGCGTTGTTAGATCGCACACTGAGGGACCCAAAATTTATACCATTGCAGTGCCATCTTCTAACATAACTCAGAATTTTGGCCAGCTTCTAGATAGTGGAAAAGGAACCGATGTAAGTTTTGAAGTTGATGGTGAGATTTTCAATGCTCACAAATTGGTCCTTGCAGCTCGTTCACCTGTTTTCAGGGCTCAACTTTTTGGTCCGATGAAAGACAGGAACATGCATTGTATAAAGGTCGAAGACATGGAAACTCCAGTTTTTAAGGTAGGGTATTTATGCTTCTTAATTTGGATTTGGTGTTGTCACATTTTGTGGTTCAGATTCTTTCGTCATTTAACTTATGCATTATGGCTAATTTGAATTCTTGTTTACTGGATTTCTCTTTTCCCCTTTATTTAAGAAGTTATTGTAGTTTCTTTACTTCTTTTGATCAAGTTCAAGCTCTTTCTAGGCCTTTGGTTAATGGAGTAAATGCTGTCTTGTTGCACGTCTTAAATTACATACATAGTAATGCCAGTTTACTTCAGTGCAGGCTTGCCAGTTGTCTCTTGGGTTTGTGGCAAGCCCCTTTATCCAAAAGTTACCTTGAGCGACAAGGGAATAACTTCTGAGGTTAATGTCAAAGTTTCTGTTGCTCGTAGAAGCTTTATGTTTTGATGAAGCTACCTATGATAGTGGCATCATAATTTGAGGTTTAAGGTTGAACTTTATATATAGTTGCTACACAAAAATGACGGTTCTTCTCAAGGGCATGAATGAATTTTTGTCTTGATAGGTTTATTGATATTCACAGTCTGCACAGATGAATTACCATATGACTGCTTTTCCTTTGGATCTATGTTAAGAAGGAATATGCAATTAATGATAAAGTTATATAATTTACTTCGTCAAACATTATCACCTATACTTTTCTATATCATTTGGGTGAGTTCACATAGTGATTGGCTAGGCCGCTTTCTTTCTTTCATACTAGGTATTTTTTCAGGATTAATGCAAGGTAAGATAGTACCATTGCTGAAGCTTATGTCTACATTTATGCCACTTGCAATACTACACTTGATTGATTATAAAGTTATTATTTATGTTACTGTTGACACTTCAGAAGGGTTTGATACTCCTATATTTTGCTGTTAAACCAAGAATATACTCATCTGCACTTTTGTCTGCCTTGTGTTTGGTTATTTCTATGCTAATGAGGTTGACTAAAGATGACATTGTACTATATTGCTGTAACATGGGAAGTTTCCTTAAGATGAGTTATGATACAAGAAAATCCAATTACACAAGTGCTTTCTGATGGATCTTGTGTTTCTTACTTATCATAATCTCTCCCTAAAAGCAAGTGCAACACTAAAATCCTATATATGACATTTTTCTAGTTGATTCTTTTTTTGTGTGATATTGGTTGGATGAAATACTTTTGACATACAAGACAACATAAATTTTATTCACAAGCCTTATTAAGTGACAAGAAAATTTAATCAATTTAACATGATCACCATTGACAATGACATAATCATTGTAGTGCATAGTTTGTTCCTTATTTTCTGTGCAGCATGCATTTGTGTGGATAACACTGAAAACATATGTTCGACAATGATATCGTACTACACAGAATATACGCGTTTTGTGTAACTAATTTTCATACAATCTTGGGCTTGCCATCTTACTGTAGGCTTTATCTTCATTTTTTAATCTTTGCATGCACAAGGATTTGCTATATGTGATTTATAATTAATTAGACAAAACTAATGATTAATAGTTTAATACTGTGTGCTACAGTGAGAATGTGGAATCTGTGTATATCACATTTGTTCCTCATGCATGTTAGTATTGTCATTCTCTTTGTAATCATACCAATTGAGCTTTTAACAACTTAAAGCAAAATTTGCATATTGTTGTGTTTTCAGGCTCTACTCCATTTCATATACTGGGATTCCCTACCTGCCTTGGAAGAGCTAGCTGGTCTGAATACAAAATGTGCTTCCACTCTAATGGCTCAACATTTGCTTGCTGCTGCTGACCGCTATGCATTGGATAGGCTTAAAATACTTTGTGAAGTCAAGCTGTGTGAGGATGTCGCCATAAATACTGTGGCCACTACTTTAGCACTGGCTGAGCAGCATCACTGTTCTCAGCTTAAATCTGTTTGTCTCAAATTTGTTGCTTTGCCAGAGAACTTGAGAGGTATGACTAGTATTCCTCTGCTAAATGTATTCTCATGGTGACATCTTTAGGACAAAAAAATTAAGGACTGGTCAAACACAACATGGGTGTCTATTATATATCATTGCACATCTGTCACCTGTTTGTTCCCAGTGCTGGTTTTCGATCAGCAAGGTGTGGCATGAACTTCAAAGATAATTGTCCATTGGAGTAATCATTTCCACAGGAAGATGACATTGCTCTTCTTTGAAAGTTCTGCTTTCTATCTCTTAACTATAAGACTATTTTATTCTTACAACACTGGCTTTAGTTCTTTCAGCAAAAAAACTGTGTATTTTCTAATTTATGTGAAGATTAGTATATGCATCTAAACATCGGTAATAGGATATTTGAATGTTTTTGCTTGAATTTTTTCAAGCTATGTACAGATGATTTTTTTGAATCAAAATTCACAGTACGTTCTGCTATCATGATTTCTGAGGATCATGCTATACAAGTGCTATATCTGAAGACCAATGTACTGTTACTCGAATGACAAATGTTGTGAATGCTTGTTCCTGATCAGCGTAGCTATATCAATCGCCCTAGATGTCAATTCATATCAATCGCCCTAGATGTCAATTCCAGAATTGTATGGTGTCTATTAAGTTGTTTTCCTGTACATCTTCCTCCTTGACATCTCAGCGCTTTACTAAGAGGACATATCGTGGTCAGGTTCTCATTTTCTCTGTTTGCTTATCTGTTTTCAGTAACCAGACAGTATCGTCTTGCTTTCGATGTCTGTTCTCATGCATTGGCACATCATGATTTTGTTTCTTCTATCTGCAACTCTATGAAGCGCCGAGTGTTAGATCTAAAGATGACATTTGATTTAATTGTCTAGTCATGTTGATTCTTGCTCACATATTGGGTGATATTTAAGCAAACCACTGTACTGTTTCTGTTGTAGTTTATCCTTATTTCGCAGCATAACTGTAAATTGAAATGATATCACTGTAAACTTGTCTCTGCAGAAATGTCTCTTGCATTAAACATATAGTTGATTATTTAACCAGATTCAAAATATTTGTCGATGACCTGATCTCTTTGGTGTTTTGACCTTGAGCAATTCTACAAGATATAGTGGTTTTATCTCTTAATAGAGCATAGGGTAGTAGGCTGCAGTCATAGTTAACAGGTTAATTGCCATTTATACTCCTTGTGATCTTGCTGAATTTGATTTTGTTTGTATGGTCTTTCTGGTGATATCTTGTTCTTAGTATGCATTGTCTCTACTCTCAGGTCTCAGTTATTTCATGTAGATGGTGAACCATCTAATGCATGTTAACATTGATCATGATGTTTTCTTCTTAACATTTTAATATATTAATTGGAATATGGCAGACATTATATTTGAACGTCTACCTATGAAAAATTATCGTGTCTGATCTCTGATCGCATCTTATGTGATTGCCATGCGAAAGTGCTGTATAGTAGGCAGTCTAACATGTGACACGGGTTTTGGGGTTCACAAGAAAGCATCTCTCTTTGCTTGTAGGAATAACATTGCATATGTTGGCTGTACTTAAATCGGCATTCGTGCCTTGTCTGCCTGTGTAAAGAAAATCTCAACTAGTATCTTAGAAACTTGTGTTACTAGACCTAACTGTTTTTTTTTTGTTCTAATGAATTGTGCAGCTGTGATGCAAACTGAAGGATTCGAGTACTTGAAGGTCAGTTGTCCATCTATTCTGATTGAGCTTCTTGCACTCGTCGCTAGGATCGGAGAAAATTCACTAACATCCAGCGTGTATTCAAGTGATGCCCTCCTTGATGGGAGTGATGCAAATGGAAGACGGGTGAAGCCCCGGATATGATATTTGCTGCAACAGCAACAGTTATTCCATTGATGAAAGTTCATTGCTTCCTGCCCTGTACTTGTTTCTTGTCAAGTTATAAATATCCTAGTTTGAAAATTTTCCATGTCCATGTGCCTTGTATTGACTACTGTCAGCAGAACTGAGCCAAGGGTTTCCTGCAATGTTGTACCATGCCAGAACTGAGGTTGTGGGGAATGAACTTGCGTGAATAATTGTGGAGCGTTTTTTGGTCGTCATCTTCTTCTGTTCGTTTATAGTTTTGCATTGGGTAGAATCAGACAGCACTCTGGCACTTCTCTTAACTGGCTGCATCAGTTGGACTACCTCTCTTGCTTTGGTGACAGTAGTCCCGCCATATCCTCACTGAACAATGCAATGCTTGTGGTACGTGTGTGAAATAGCCTTGTGTGGATAATTGTGTAGCATTTTGGATCATAATAATTTCGTTTTCATTTTTATTTAGTCTCTTGACTGGCGATTTGATTACATTAGCTGTAATGGGGGGACGCAGAAATATCTGAGAAATATAAGGTCAACTATTAAGAGGTCCCTTGTGCTCAATTTCTTTTTCTCCTCGATCATCCAGTTCCTGATTTCGTTATATTCAATACCAACTGGTGGAATGTTTTGATGGAAGTAATATACATATCTGATCTTGGACTGACCAAGGCAAGTGTATCCTGTTGTGGATGGTCAGTTTGAAAAATGAGAGGAATGATTTATTGTGGCCTATTAATATTCACACTATGAAACGACCACAGTAAAAGAAGTAAGCATCAATCTTCCCTTCTGTAAACTAAGTTGGGATGAAAAGATAGCTTGGGAAGAAAGGGTATATATATATATATATATATATATATATATAACTGGTCTTAAATAGATTAGCAGAGAGGCAGATAGCGTATTAGTCGCAATAAGAGAAGTAGAGACCAAAAACCTTATAGCTCGATTACATGGAATAGTGCAATGTCTGTCGGTTCAATGGCTTAATTGTCAGTTCGATTCCATTCTCTTTACAATCAATGCCCATGATTTTAAACAATTAGTTTGATGATGACCACAAGTTTGCCCAAAAACCAAATTTAATACCTTGCAAATACAAAGGGCCCAATTAGTTTGATGATGACCACAAGTTTGCCCAAAAACCAAATTTAATACCTTGCAAATACAAAGGGCCCAATTGTCATGGACTTAGTAGGTTTTGCCTAAGTCGTGCGGCACCATTGCGTGTTCGTCCGCAAAGATCAACCTTCCTAAAGCCTCCCATGGTCCCTTAGGACCCACAAAAGAGAAAACGGGTTAGAGAAAACGTCTCACTTAGGATCCACAAGTAAACATTTCCGAAAACAACACTTCATAGACAATGCAAATTACAAACAGACTTTACAAGCTCTGAACAATTGCACAACAAAGGGTCAAAATGGTCCACTACAGATCAAAAATCTCTCACAAGTGTCCACATTACACAATATTTATTTACAAGCCTAAAGCGACCACCAAACCCAACTAAAATGTGACTATTAAGCCTTCGGCCATCCCTCTACATGCTGTGCAAAGCATGAACATACCAAAAGACACGGACATACATAAGCATTATATCAAACATCCTGTTTAGAAGTTTGTCCGTGATATTCTCCCTCACTTATTCCTTCGACGTCCTCGTCGAAGCCTTTCACCGACACTGCAACTCCTCGCATTTGCTAAGTCTTCAATCTTCTGCTCCAGCTGCAATGCACCTCTTGGCTCCCAACTACCCTCCGTTGTTGTTGTTGAGTAGTCGAACTTTTGATCCTTTATGTTGTTTCAACTCGCCAATGACTTTAACTCTAGTGTAGGGTTGGCTGAGTTGTGTTGATCCTCGTTGATTCCTACGGATCCTCTAGATGAAGGAAAAGACCATCCTTATTATGCGCTAGTCTCTCAAATACCACATGCTGCTTGAACTAGGTGAATGCTTGTTGGAGCTTTAACGAGCATCGCCTCGTAAACTTTCGAAGTTTTGAGTCATTCCTCCATAAAATTTGTCCATCGACTCTTCTTTCACTTAGTTGTCCATTTCAAGTAGGTTCACATCACTTCCGCTTTCGATTGACATTTCGTTAGGAAATGAAGCGGACAATCTATTCTCAATAGCACTGATCACCGTTGGTGAGGTTTCGACAATTATTGTCTTCTATTATCTTCGAAGGGTCTTTGAACCCGTGCAAAGCTCCTTTGCTAGATAGATAAGAGAATTGGGGTACTCGGTTTCGCCTATTCTCTTAAGAGTTAAGAAGGCAAAGGTTACTTGACTTCGCCCCCCTTCTTGAGGTTGTACTCCATGCATCGAGCTGGTTACTGGCCTTCACCTGCTCTTTGCTTACACTTTTGAAACACTTGAAGTGTTTGCACTCCTTGCGTTGAGTTACTTACTGTGATTCACCTTCTTAATGCTATCGAACTTCTGGAATGCAGGAAGTTTTCACCCCAACTTGGAGTAAATCTCTAATAGATTTGGTTGCCTCTGGGATTGTACCGTCTTCTCCATTAACCTTGCCACCTACTCCATTGAGTAGCAAAGGTACAACACCGCGTACTGCTTGCTTTGTTCCTTGGTCGTGCACTCTTACTTGACCCGAAGTCTTTCACTTTCGGCTATCTTGATGAGAAGCTCATTGACATCGGTCTTACGAAGTTCCTTGGCCTCTGCCCTTCAGCCTTGTCTTGATACTTAGAGTTTGCCTTTGCATGCTCCACCTCCTCAGCCCCTTTCACAACCAAGCGCTCTCCCTCCATGAGAGCAAGGGATCACTGACTTTCACAGAAGTCCCGCCTCTGTGGTACCATGGCGCTGCCATGCCCATGGCCCTACTATCCGTCGTCTCGCATCTGCATCTCTTTTCTTCACGATCAATAGATATGTCTCTGTGGCACTCCTCCGAGTCCACATCCATTCTAACTAATGCTTAATTTTGGGTAGCTAAGTCCCTCTGGACTCGTCGTCGCTTCCTCGCCCCTTTCGACCCCCTACTTCAACACCTCTGTGTTATCCAAACAGCTCCCTTTGGTCGATGGAAAGACAAACTGTAACTCCCATGCATGGCCTCTGCCATCACCTTGTAGGATTTGCACCGATTCTATTTTCCTTAGCTTCCTTGGTAGCAACGTCCGCTTACTCGACCTTGTCCTTTGACTTGCTGGGCTCTCTTAAGAGAATATGGGCTCTAGAGCAGTCTAACTCTCCAACTGCTTCGATCATACCTCTACATGATCAAGTCCCTCTCATAGGACTCACTAGTACTTACATTTGAACTTTTCCCTTGGTGGAACACAACCCCCATATGCTGATGACCAAGGCTTTCATCCGATGCAAAATTCGATGTATGCATGAAAGACCCGCCTTAGTACTATGACTTTCACTCCTTGAATCCATAGCCCTTCTTGTCGTCGTGTTGTTCACCGAAGTAGAGCTTCCAGTAGCTCCCGATCAGACCTTCGTATGATCTAGTCTCTCACGGGACTATGTCGTATGTATCGCATTGTCACGAACTGTTCCACTATGATCCGTAACACCATGTCGTCTCTTAGTGATATCTCTATTGCATTCTGATCCTTGTGGGATGAACTCGAATTGTGATCCCTCCATGTGTGGCCACTGCCAATACATCACAAGGTCTCTTGCACCTTCAATTTTGTTCGCTCCTTTGGCAATCGACCTTCATCCACCCACTCTTGGGTCACACTTAGATGAAGCACCGCTCTAGGACAGTCTATCACCTAGTTGCTCTCGAAGTCCATCGACTTCGCTGTAATTAGTGCACCATTGTTTGGATCCTGGGCCTCTGCCCCTACCAACACAATCTTCGCTGCGCACTGCTTCCTTCATGACAACTTGAATGGCAACACTGTTGCATCTTCTTCAAGAGTACCCGCCTCCACGTCCTCTTGCCCCATGCCAAGGCCTTCTGAACCCAACTTCGCCTCCGCAAGTTGAGTCACCTTAGTTCCTCTATCAAATGCTTCTCCGAGATAAGGTGCATGTGCCCAAAAGCTCCCTTCGTCTTTGGCACCATGTAAGATGAGTCTGCTCCGTCAGAATGAAGGACCCATGGAACAACATGATCCTACTCTTGCCTCTGCAAGAGTTCATGTCCTTGACCTCTGTCAAAGGAAAGCACTGTGCCTCCGCTCTATGTTCCATCTTCTATGCTGGCTCCCTTCATGTGGCTTGGGTACTTCGCTAAGTTATACCGAAGTTGCTTCGCTCTCATTTTTGTATTGAGTTGATGGTGGCTTTCGTACCCACCATTCCACGGGTCAGCCCTCCCTTGAGTCCGATCTTCATATCAGCTCCAAGTATGCCTTTATTTGTGTTGCTTTGGGTCGCTCCTTCACTTGATCTCGCAATGCATCCACCAATGCATTCTCTCAAGAGAGATCATGCGATAACTCCTCGCCGCTCGCTCGATCTATTGAGCTTCGTAGAGTTGTTATTTGTTGAGGTACTCCTCCTCAACATGTGCGGTCTGTTGCACATGATTCTCCCTCTGGTGAAATCGGGATCTATCCCTCCTGGATAACTCTCCCGTTAGAGCAACATCTTTCTTTGTTTCGGAGACCACCATCCCCTTGGACTACTCCGATTTACTGAACAAACTATGCATTGTTCTGCCTCGTACAAACGCACTTGCTAAATTACGACTCCACGTCAATACAGCCCCCGCTGCACCACTCAAGGCCTACTAACATGCTGAACTCGCTGCACACTTCAGCCTCCTATGGACGTATCCTTTATATGCCGAAGAGAAAGTTTTAATGCTCCATGGCGTCGAGTTTCGGTCGCCTTGGGATGACAATGAATATTCCATTGTCCGCATACAAGCCATGCATGAGTACCGAATTCCTCGAGTTAACAATTCCCCTCACCTCTATGAGCTTTGCATAACTCTTTCGGTCGTTGAGTAACTCATTCGATCTTGCATGGCCTCATCCTTTACCAAGCGTTTCGCTTGCCTTGAGCACCATCAAGTATAGTTATCAACGTCGAGCTGTAGCTCAAACTCAGCCATCCCAACCTTTGTGCGCTCTACATTCTTCCAAGCTTCTTGTTCTCGTGGTGTCTCTTGCGCGAAAGGTTGGTCATTCCTCTGAATGCCAATCTCAAATGTTCGCTCCTCCGAGCGACTCCTTTTCCCTACATCTCCATACCTGTTTTCCCCTAAACGGTCGTGCATATGCTGACTACTCTCAACGCAGCCCCGCTAGGTTCCAACGTTTGCATGCCAAGTGTTTCTATGAGTACTTGTCCCGCTTTGATACCATCTGTCATGGACTTAGCTGGTTTTGCCTAAGTCGTGTGGTACCCTTGCGTGTCCGTCCACAAAGATCAACCTCCCATGGTCTCTTAAGACCCACAAAAGAGAAAACAGGTTAGAGAAAACGTCTCACTTGGGATCCACAAGCAAACATTTTCGAAAACACTTCATAGACAATACAAATTACAAACAGATTTTACAAGCTCTGAACAATTACACAACAAAGGGTCAAAATGGTACATTACAAACCAAAAATCTCTCCCAAGTATCCACGTGACACATCAACAAACCTAATTAAAATGAAACTATTAAGCCTTCGACCATCCCTTTACATGCTGTGCAAAGAATAAACATACCAAAAGATACCGACATACATAAGCATTACATCAAACATTCTATTTAGAAGTTTACTCGTTACACATAACCAAAATGGAGGAGAACCCTTACTTTTCCCACCGTCCCAACCAAATCAAACAATAGCTTCCTAACATCCGTGTTAACACAAATAAAAGTGTGCGCGTATCCAATTACCACTGCATAAGTCAACCAAAATCCCATCTTCATTATTTACCTTTCGCAAAAGTAGACAATGACCTTCATGACATTTATGTGTTGCTTCAATCTATCAACTTGCCTAATACCGTATCAACCGTAAAGATATATCTTCATAAGACCAACTTCCCTAATAAAGATATCTTTATTCCCATTGGCGACATCGGTCATTCGCATGTCAACGTCACGCTTACGCTTCCGGTAAGCGTACCCATCGCACCGTAGGTGGTCTGCGGCAGTAGTCGGCTCATATCAACCCCACCTCTCTTTCTCCTGTAGCTCGCAGCGTCACATCCTTGTTGCAACCCTAATACCAGCTCGCGGCGTTCGCCGATGGCGAGTCTTGCCTCCGTCTTCTCCGCGATCTGCGTCTCCCTGCTCCTCTCACCGGCCTCCGGAATTGACTTCGACTACCCGGCCGTCTTCAACTTCGGGGACTCCAATTCCGACACGGGTGACCTCATCGCCGCTGGCATCGGGGACCCCCTTCTGCCGCCCAACGGGCGGGCCTACTTCTCCAAGCCGGCTGGGCGGTTCTGCGACGGCCGCCTCATCATCGATTTCCTCAGTAAGTTCTACTCTGTCGCCGAATCTATGACCTTTACATTAGGCTTTCGACGAGCTGGCTTCGCCTTTCTTTTTAGGGGAATACAAGCAAAATGGAAGGAATTGATGCATTCCAAGGACAAGATAATTATGATAAAATTTGACTGCTTATCCAAACTCTAATTCGAGGCTGAAATGTTGAAGTTGGGATGGTTGTTCTGTCGTAATCTGGTGTTTAGAAGTCTGATTTCAGATTAGTCATAGAGATTTTGATTGGATTACCATAAATCTCACATGCTTAAGCTAAATGGCCTAAAATATTTATAAACCTTGACACCCCCTCTCGCGCATTCAGGAAAGGCCCAATATATTAATGTGTTTTGACAATCCTCAACAATAAAACCCACTGCTACCTTTCAGCTACTTAGCCAAGAAGAATTTGCAACTCATCAACCAGTTCAGCAACACAACTAACATGATGGAAGTTTCACCCTTTTATGGAGAAGAAATTTCAGTTTTTTTTATAGGCTTTAGTATCTAGGAAATGTCAGCCAGTTCACTGCTGAGTTTGTTAGGAATTCCAAGTTTGGTAAAATTACCAGGTAAGGTTTTATATACATTGAGTGCTAGAGACATTATGTAGTTCAAATTGAAGCATCTTAGAGGAGAACACACTGGATAAAAAAAATTGGGCAGACTTATGGCCATGTTCAAGATCAGATTGGTGCGGTATATGACCCATACGCTAGGATCAATTTGATGCTCGATGAAGCATGAAATTTTAAATGTCCATAATTTTTTTGAGTCATTTTAGTTTCATAGTTGCTAATTTTGCATGCAATTTCATTGAAGCCCTTCTGTAGTCATCTTTTGTTGGATAGTTTTGCCACCAACTTTCATTTAATAAAGTATTGTTGTTGATCTTTGCCTGATTATTGACCAAACATAGGTTGAGTGTCCTTGGTTAATGTTTCTGAATTTGTTTTTCCCATCTGGCTATATTAGATTTTATACTGCAAGATGTATTCTTTGTACACTGTATTTTGTTGCTTCATCTTATTATTTTACATTCTTAGTGCTGCAGTGGATGCTATGGATATGCCATTTCTTAATGCGTACTTGGATTCTGTTGGTGCACCTAGCTTCCAGAAAGGTTGCAACTTTGCTGCAGCTGGGTCTACCATTCTTCCAGCAACAAAGTATTCAGTCAGTCCATTTTCCTTTGACATCCAGGTTGCTCAATTTTTTCGGTTCAAAAACCAAGTTCTTCAGTTACAGACCAAAGGTACGTGCAAGTGTTCTTAACTCTTGCACCAAAACCAACTGATTATCAATACATGCTGGGTTAACATATTTCAGAGACGCTGAAGTTTTGATTGGAAAAACATTGCTGATTGTAATAGGCTAGTAGCTGTGTAGTTTCAATCATAAATTAATATCATTCTTCTTGCTTTTTCATTTTGTTTGGTCGATATCCTTGTGTCCATGATCAATTGTTAGCTGAACACAGTGAATAAGAGATTTGGTAAAAAGAGAAATTGAATGGATCCTTTTTTTAGTTACATCTATCTTTAGTGGAACATTAAATAGACGAAGCGAAGGCCTAAGAAACTAACTTTCTAGCATGTTCAGGTCACCAAGATTTCTTAAGCATTTCTGCATCTTTTAATTTTTCATTTGCAGGCACAACAAGCACAATTAAGATTGTGACAATTGTCATTAAATGAATTGTGTTCCATTGTCCATTAGTTAATTGAGGTATGAAAGGGTATCTTATAAACTTTATACATAATGAGCAGGTTTCTGTAGCAAGGAAGTCATATATACAGTTCATACACATATTTTAGATTAATCGAAAGAACAGTAACAGCAAGTGCCAAATGCTCAAGGATGGCTAATTCTATTGAACTCTGCCAAATCTGTTGAATTTATAAAAAAATGTCAAATTTTTGGATAGTATTTTAGCAATCAGTTACAAGTGACGCTTGACCTTTTACTGTGGGCAGCTTGCAAATCTCTTAGTGGATATGACTTGGAACATAATTCTCAAATTTCTAAGAAGTTGAGGAAACACACACTTAAAGAAGTCAATCTATCTCTAAGAGGGTGTTCCTTTCTAGTAATCAAATTATGTTTGGCATCACAGGTTCTTTAAGTAAAACTTTTTAATTTAGCTATACAGCCAATAGTACTTGTCATTTAATTGTTGTTGCATGATTAAGTTTTGAAAGGTTTTGTCTGAGATGATAGCTATGTCAATTTCCTGCAATCTTCCTGGTGGACTAGATTTGGAAAACTGGTCCAATATCATGGTCAGGTGGAAGGTTTATTCAACACTTTCCTAAATCAAATCAATACATGATTGCTTATTTATTCTAGGCATTTATATCCATGCACATTCTTTCGTTACTTGACATAGCTACATTTTTTGAACTTCTAAAAGAAATATTCCTTTTGTGTGATGAGTTGCAAATTGCTTGCTTTAACATTCTGTTGAGTCCTTAGAACCTTTAAGCTCTGGGATTTGTAGGTTTGAGAGCAGAAAGAAAGAACTATCATCAACCCTAAATACAAACGCATAGAATTTGAAGTTAGTAATTTACCTAGCTAAGCTGCACTGAACATGTGGCATAACAAGCACTTATTTTATAATTTCTTGCAGGCAAAAAGATCAGGAAATCCATTCCTCAAGCGGATTACTTTGATCAGGGACTTTACATGTTTGATATTGGCCAAAATGATCTTGCTGGTGCCTTCTATTCAAAAACTGAGGAACAAGTCATTGCTTCTATTCCAAAAATATTATCAGAGTTTGAAAGTGGATTAAAGGTGCCATTTATTTTCTGTTTATATCAAGAACTTAATGAAATAATTAATAAAATAATTGTTGTCAGATAGTAGTTTTTTTTATTATGTGAAATGGTCTAATACAGGAGCACTCTTTTGAGATTGTATCATTAAAATTTGATTTTGAAGTTAGAAAAGCTAGTCTTATCTCACTAATCAACAGTTAAAGCTATGAGAGTTATCGATTTATGTACTTCATTTTATGAGTTCAATATGCTTGATCTCTAAGGTATATGATGTAGTTTCTCTACAGTATATTCTTGTGGTTGTAATAGTTTGACCTAATCTTCTGTGGTTATGCTTCCAGAAATTATATGATCAAGGTGCCAGGAAATTCTGGATTCATAATACTGGTCCACTTGGGTGCTTAAGTCAAAACATAGTCATTTTTGGTAAAGATCCATCAAAACTGGACAAGTTTGGATGTGTGAGTTCTCACAATCGAGCTGCTAAACTTTTCAACATACAGCTTCACACACTTTGTACAAAGCTGCGAGGTGTATTTGCTGATGCAACTATTACCTACATTGATGTGTTCACCATAAAGTTCAACCTCATAGCGAACTTTTCTCGATATGGTATGCAGAAAATTTCTCTTTCAAATGCGGTTACTTGTATTGAAGTTTTTTTTTATTGGAACTTGGAAGTTGATTCAGGAAATAATTACTTGCTATGTCATCTGGCGTCAGTCCTTTGAGATGACCTGTTGTTATAAGCTTATCTCGGTCCTTTCATTTTGGCTTTCTTGATTTTTTATTTCTGCTTGTCCCATTTTTTTTTTTGCAAAAATGCATGGACAATTCTCACTTTTGACACGCTTCGAGCAAATGATCTTTTATGAATGTGAGCTAACTTGATGTTACCAAGTGAAATAAACACTGCTGGAAATGATGAAACCAAGGAATGAACTAGGAACTTTCCTCCACAACCTGTTTCATACTGGTCTGGGTGAAACGGAGGACATTGCTGGAAATGATGAAATTGTATCTACATATTGTACACGAGTAAGTTATCTTGAGGAAAGCAGTAATGCCACCTAGGGGTTGGGACTATATGGATAGACTCTGCTAATATTTCCCATAGCTAGCACTACTTCCCTTGTTTAAATCACGGAGAAGGCCACCAAGAAAGTGGACTGGGATTAGAGTGTAAAACATGGACACAGATGGAGGAAAACAAGTTCTACCTGCTGCCACATTGTGACCCTTGTGAAGTTAACTCTACGGTGGAAGTATGATTACATAGAGATGGTGGTACCTTTATATCTTGGTAAAGAATCAAACCTTAAACCAGGGTTTTGAATACTGGTCCGTACCGACGTATCATGCTATGCTCGGTATGGTACGTACAGTATGTATTGTCGGTACATCAGGGCATACTGATGGTACACCCTAAAACCTTTAAAATATCTCCACCTATCATGCTAGAGCGTACCGATCAGTACGCCTCGGTAACGATTGAAATTTGGGGCAGTACTGGTCGGTACGCTTCGGTACCGCCCGATAGAGGGTGATCCGCATATTGGTATCCTCTCGGACTGGTACGTATCGGGCGATACATATCGAAATTGAGAATCCTACCTTAAACCACATTTAACATTTTGTAGGAAAGGAGGCATCACATGTAGTCTTAAATATTTACTAGGAGAGGTCTTAACATTATGCGAGCTATCTGAAAATACACTCAAAACGGATAACTGCAATGAGCCACCAGAGACAGTGTAGGATAGATGATGCCAACAGAAACATTGTGAAGAATTAGATTTGACACTGTTTTGCACCATTAGGGAGAGATTCCACTACTTACAAAATAAATTTAGTGGTAAATGTCTGAATCTAGTGTGATCAATTATTACAAATGCATTAGTAGTTTGCATTCAATTTTTTCTTGCTTTATTCAACTTCAACTTTTTCCCTTAGCCATCTTAAATGCTTCAAAGGTGCATCTTCTTGTGCGTACCAAATGTGATGGAGGCCTAGGAATGTATGATCCATCCCAAGACAAACTTTAAGAGTCTCTCTTAACGAAAGTTGATACATACAACACCTAAATAATCTGTGATTGGTATTTGCATTCTGGGTTTACCTCATGAACTAACTCCTTATAGTTCCAAACTATATTGTATTTGATTCTGTGCTATACTTTTATGTTACATTTCGATTCAAACAATTTGTAATTTGCTTCACAATATTTTTCAGGATTTGAGAATCCAATTGCTGCATGCTGTGGATATAGCGGACTGCCATTGAACTACGATCCTCGAATCGCTTGTGGACAAACAAAGGTTCTGAAGGGACGCTCAGCAACAGCTAAAGCATGCAATGATGCCACTGAATACATCAATTGGGATGGCATACACTATACAGAGGCTGCAAATCTTCATGTATCGTCCCAAATACTCACTGGGAGATACTCCGATCCACCATTTGCAGACCAGATGCCGTTTGCTCTCAAGTTGAAGTTTTAGTTACACTGTTTTCACTAGATTTCAATGTATAATGTTCATTATCAAAAGAGTTGCGTGTCAACCAAATGTAGATATATACAAGTTACATCAATATATGCATGTTTATGTCCTCTATTCTTGCAAAGCAGTCAAATTTCTTGTGGTTAGAGATCATTGTTATTTTGTGGATTCACATTCTGAGGCTTGTAATTAGTAAAAGAGTAAAATTGCTTTTCACTTGACTAGAATGTTGCTTTAGAAAATTATTGAATATATATATATATATATATATATATATATTCAATAAATATTATATAATTATTATAAAAAAATTATTTGTGTATTATTTACAAAGAGAAAGTGAGGAGGATGAAATTTTAAATCTAGAATTTTATGATAAATAATTAAAAATTTTATCAATTAAATTAGAGTTATCATGGCAAGTTGAAATCGCCAGCTCCGGTTAATATTACTCGTCTCAAAATCTACACCCAAAATTTCCTCGTCTTACCTGGTTGTCTCACACACCTGATGCGCTTGCCCAAGGTGAGCCACATCGGATCGGATGAGACGTGTGGATTCCACGCGATCGGAGATGTGAGTTTCTCGTCTCACACGGGACAGGTGGCCCGGCTCACCAATCTCCTCTGAGCTGCCAAACAGGGAGGAAAACTATTTTGAGATTGTTGCTCTTGCGTAACAATGTGGGACCCTTCGAATGAACTAATGGATAGCCGAGGTTTCCTGCTCGGCGACTCAGAAAAGACACAGGTCGGCCACCAGGACTGGAGCTGTGCGCTTGAACCGGGCTGTGCGATCAAGCCAACCAAACCCGGTCGACGGTGAACCGGCTGCGGTTAAACCTCTGCGTCCTTGCTTGGGGTTTCGCAGCCAAAACCCTCGTCAACCTTCGATCTCTCTACAGTTACTTGGAACTTCCGGCGGCGGGAGAGGATGGCCTTGTCGAGATTCTATGCGATTCGGCGCTTCCAGCGGTCATTTCAAACCCCCCATCTTCCCTCGGAGTATTCGATCTCTTTCGGCTCTTTCCATAAAACTGATGCGATTTACTCCCACTTCCCTTGTAATCTCTTCACTCCTCGATCCTCTTCACACTTCCTCAGTTCAGGACTAGAAGGTATCGTCCTTATATCTCTATCGTAAGCTTTTAATCTTCTTGTACGCTAGGTTCTGTAAAAATGACGCATCTCATTTTCACAGGGTTTGTTCTCCGAAGAAGCATCGTGAGTTGTTCTTGCACGATTAGCAGCATCCTTCGTCCGGATGCTTCCAGAGATGGGAGTGGTTTCACGTCACGGTCATCCACGAAGGTGAGGGAGTTCGTGTTGGAGTGTGTTTGTTGGTTTAAGTTGTGTTATATATTTATATCTGTAGTTTCTTTTTTTTTCTGTTTGACAGGTTGCAGAGTTCACTATCTGCTTCAGTGGTTCTAGATCGATGTCCAGTGTGAAAGCCCCCGCTGGAGCAAGACAGGTTGTTAAAGGAGTAGCTTTTCTTGATCGTTTTGTTGTTGTTGTTTATTAAAACGTAGTCAGCCGTATGGATATTTAGTAGAAAATGAATTTTAACTAAAATCTTTCTTGAATAAGTTTTCATGAAAGGTTGTAGGGGATGACTCTCTATTGAAGTATCATTGAATACCACAATTCTGTGATGTTAATGAGAGAGCAAAAAAGAGTGTGTATCTAATGTTCTTCATTTTCATGATTAGTCTTCATATTCCCATTTAGTTCTTGCTCTTTCGCTTAGGAATATATATTTTTTTCTCTTGTGTTGGCTTAAGATGACTATGCTCTTCACTCCTCGATCCCCTAGGCTCATAGGCTTAGAAATTCGAATAGAAAATGCCTTTAACCATGCGGGGATTAAAATGCTTAGGCAAGAGTTACCAGTAGTCGACCTAATGACCCTTATATATTATCATAACCTTCTCTCTTACTTTTTGATGTAAGACCAATGATATATCACAATCTCCCTCAATAAATGGCTTGACGTCCTCATCGTAACCTACACATAGCTTGTAACTTAAAAAGTTAAAACCATTATGTAGCAAGGTTTGCGATTTCGAATCGTATCGCCTGTGAACCGGTACGCGGACCGCCCACTACTGGGCGGTTCACTCGATATAGCGGCCTGGCTACGGCTAGGCTGAGGGAGAAGCGTCGAAGAAGGAAGAAGAAGGAGAGGGCGTTCGAAGAAGAGGGAGAAGAAGAGGAGAATCGAGAGAACCTAGACGCGAACTTGTTTCCACGCCCTTTCTCGATCCCGATCCGACAGCGCCCTCCCTCGACGATATCGATCCAGGAGATAACGACGAGGAGAGTCGTAAAGAGGAGGATCTGGAGGCACGGGGATCAGGGGAGGCGACAGTCTCCTTCATCGTCTCATCTGCAACTCTGTGGCCTTTTTCTTCGCCAGATTCTTCACCGAAGGCCGGAGACGTCTACGGCCTTCGACAGTTTCACCGCCTTCTTCGTCGAATGCCGTAGACGAGGCAATGACGAGAAGAGGAGGAGGCGATGTCGCCGAGGCTACGTATGCCTTTTTTTAAATATTTTTATATTATTTTTATACTTTTATATATTATTTTTTATATTTTTATATAAAATATATATTTTTTATATAAAAAATATTATATATATATATGTATATGTATATATATGTATATATATATTTAGGCATACCGCTTGGTATGCCCTAGCACACCACTCGGTACAACGTACCGTACCGAGCAAAGCTCGATACATCAGTATGGTACGAAGTTTCAAATCTTGTTTTGTAGCAGGCGACAAGTGAAGTCCATGCCCTAGTGGTGACTCCACGTTTTTATATGCCTTTGTACCATCCAAAGCTAGTTCTTTCATCTTGGGGTTAGCTCTTTTCTTCTCTGAGCCTCTCATCCTCACATTTATGATGCTAGGCCTGCTTAATAATGATTTCCATGATCCAGTATGATATGCCCACTATTTGAGAAACCCAAGTAGAACTGGCCTTTAATCATATATCCTACAATTCTTAAGCTTTAGTTGCTAGTTGTTAGCCCGTTGGCCCTCATGTACTAGTATAACAGCCTCTTCCTCTCTATGTAAAACTACTTGACATGATTACAGTGGAAGCACATAGTTGGCCCTCATGTACTAGTATAACAGCCTCTTCCTTTCCATGTAAAACTACTTGACATGATTACAGTGGAAGCACATAGTTCCTTAGATATGTGGTCAGAGGATATGGTCAAATTTAATGGCTTTAAACAAATATGATGTCATTAGGTAAAGTTTTGTGAATCCCTTGCTCTTACATGTTTTTTCCCTCTATTTGGGGTGCAAACAGCAACAATGATAAGGATAGTTGTTGTGATGATAACAATGGTGGAGAGACCTTTGTTCTTGTCATTTGGTGGAGAAGGGCATTGCACTAGTATTGATTGGTCAATGAGAAGTAGAAAAGAGAGAGGCAAACTGGTTATGACTATGAAGGGATGAAACACTGATCATTACTATCCTGAGGAGCACAGACTGTTCGTACCTTGTGGTCCTAACTCCTAATTATGATCGGACCATCTTTATTTTTGATGCCTCATCATTATGGTTCCCCAATCTTACTCTACATCAACCGTATCATTATGTCATCACTGGTCAGGTGCCAATGCAAGTCAATATCATGATCCTATACATTGTGCCTTTACATGAGGCATTTCTGAGAGCAGTGGTGATATACTTTAGTTGTCATATTGTCAGCATTATCTCATATCGCAACATAAACATATTGTACACTAGTAGGACAAAATGTACACACCCTCCATGGGGAGATGAAAGCATTGTAGTTGCTCTAACAATCATCTAATGTACCTTATTTTCTGTTGGTGTTACATCACACACTGAATGGTGTTTGCAGTGTGGACAAGGAAGTCATGTTGTTGATTTGAAAGGTGTTTACAGTATTCCTTTTCTTTCCACTAGTTGCTTCCTAATAATAACCTAACAGTCAATCAGTAACAATATCCTGGAATAGTAAGCCTATGAGCCTAGTTGATCAAGAAACAGCCTTTGTTGATGAAGATTTTTTTTTTTGTTTTTCATGGAGGCCAACATTGGACACACATGGCACATTATTGTGATGACTGATATCACTCACTAATTATGATGGCTCCTAGATAAGCAATTGTGATATAAGCTGGAATATATGCATTTTTACAGTATTTATAACAATCTAAACAATTTTGATCAAAGGCACCTGAAATAATTCAGGTGCAACCTGGAATGATGAGAAGAAATAACAAAACCATGTATGTGCTGTTCAACTTGTTGTTTGGCCATCATGGATAGATGTTCTCACACCTAGCATGGCAATGAATGCGACACATTTTTGGCAGTGGATTACACACACAGCGGCGAACCTCAATGCCATTCATGTCTTTTCACACTTTTACCATTTATTTTAGTACACTTCTGCTGCCAATGCTGTATATATTTGCAAGTATGTAATAGATGTCTCAATTGGATAAGTCAAATTTGGACATTACCAACAACCGATGCATTCTTATGTTTATTTAGATTAGATGTGGACACACTAGTTTGGAACATATGTGGATAAAATTAGTGTCCACTCTTCATCTGAATACATGTCTGCATTTCATCGAACAAAGTGGATGTTGATAAGAATATACCAGTGTCGATCTATGTTCAACACAACTATCAAGGATATCACTGTACAGTGTCTTTCACCATACATAGTCGATAGGTATCTTTTTTCCTTACTCAGATAGAGGAACTTATTACTTGCCGTCTACTTTAAATTGACTAAGGTCCATCTTTTGTGAAATGGTTCTTCATTTTCTTGCCCCAGAAAATTTTTACATCCATATTCTCCTCTCGTGCTAGCATACCTGCATCCCATTCTCTTGTAACTTCTCACATTTGTATTGCTAAAATCCCATCTACACTTAACAGAGTAGTCTCATAGACTTAAAATATGAGTGTGAAGTGTTTACTGGAATCCAGGGTCAAAATATTAGCTTTCCTAGTGAGTCTTGGTTAAACCAAACTTAGGGAAATTCAGATTGTTAGGAGGTCGATTAATTGAAAAGACCTTCCTAGTGGCTGGAGTTAAATTCCCTCTCGGATA